TTGTTCTGATTCTTGCTGTGGCACTGCCTCACACCTGTGTCCCAGAACAGAAGTGTTTAAAGTAGGAGAACCTTAGACAGCTTCTCATGTCTGTGCCTTAGTCCTGTTCTGTGCAGATCTTCCTCAATGTAGACAGGTACAAGAATCTCTTTCTCCTCTTAACTCCTACTGTTCCTGTCACATGCCTTCTATAATTAATGTTCTTGCTATTTATATAACCCCTACACACATATGGGTACATGAGTTCATGAATACAACCAACTGATAACATTTTTGTCTTGTTTGCACCTGTATAGTGTGACTTTTTGATATTTCTAATCCATATTGTGTTCTGAATTAGATTGTTTCTCAATTTAACTCTTGGACAATTTTTTTTTGCTAGTTCCTCAGTAACTGTTAATTTTGTATAACTCTTCTTGTGAGGAACCCTTGTGAGAAATGCTCCCACACAATGGCATGCCAGTTGTCATAGTGCAGTGTACAACTGTCTGTCAGAGTGCCAAGCCCCAGTTGTCAATATCCAACACCACCAGTGCCCATATGCCACCAGGAATGCTGCAGAATTTAGCTGGACAGCCGGAAACAGAGCAGGATATTGTTTTGTGTATGTGACATGGAACCTTTTTCAGACTGATTTTAACAGTGTGGTTGCCTGTACATGGCTTGGGAATTATAAACTGTATATATGTACAATGTATATAATGCCTTGTGTTATTTTGATTTAACATCTGTGGTTGTCTGCAAACTTCTGTTCCAAACTACCTTTGCGTGCCTCCAGGGACACTCTTAAGTGTGCCTTCTTGTATGTCTATATTTTCTCACTCCTCATACTTTATTTTCTTCTTCCCCAATTTCCTGTGTGTCTGTCTTACATGTAACTCCCTCAATATATCTTCCACTACAATAACTGCCTTCTGAGAATCCATGACTTCTAAGTCTCTCCCAGTTTCCTTTTTTAATCTAGGGAAGTCCAAGTAACTCCAAAATATGGCAGCCATTCTCTTTGTCTATTTTTTATATTTATTTTGGTGAATGTGGAGACAGGCCAGTGTAGACCAACTTATACTTGAACTGAACTTCATCCCTTCAAGCTCTACATGCTGTGATTACATGTGTGTGTCACCATTCCTGGTGTGAACATTACTTTTAGAGCAGCCCTGAACTTGATATAATAAATGGGAAATAGTATGCAAGGGAGCTTGTCCCATTCTTGTTAAGGAGTGCTAGATCTCTGCACATCTTGTTTGTTTTCCTGTGTCTCTTGAACTTAGCATCGTCAAGAAGGTCCTGATTATATTCCCTGTTCACTTGCCTCTTCAGACTCCACAGTACAGAGCCCAGAGCTTAGTGACACTCTCATCTCCCTGAGGTTGATGGAAAACACTTGAGATTAAACTGTCTGTCCAAGCTCACATACCTAGTCAGAACCAAACCTAAATGTGACATTCAATTCAAGATATCACTATCAGCACAAGTGATATCCCCAAAACAAAGATTTTAAAGAATAGTAAAAATAAGGGGAGACATGATCAAATGAACCATTTTAAAGTTTCTTTCCTTACCTGCCATGGTTGGAGGAAGAGTATCAGCAACCCACAGTACAATAGAGGAAGATAATTGTTTGTCCTTGTCTGATCAGCTGACCTGAGTGGCAAGTGTGTCCGGTATCAGACAGCACTTACTTGTCACAGGTGACCTGTGATGGTCCAAATTTGTTTACAGGCATTTCCATGGAAACCCCAAGAACCTACCAGGTGGTGGTAAGATTGAAGGGTCAATGATGTCATAAACAGGGCAGCAACCAATGGGAAGGTTGGATTCTGAGCTAAAAGATGGACTTGGTTGGAGAGGATACCAGGAGACCAACAGTAGCCACGGAGGCTGAGGTGTATGCTAGTGAAATGATGCAATCCTGTCATGGAAGTCCCCCTTCCCATGAGGTTTACTCTAGGGTATTGGCAGAGTTTTTTTTTAATAAGGTTCCATTTTGAAGCTGTGTCTTCTGTTTCTTTGAGGTATCACCTTGCAGCAGACAGTGTCCCATGAGCATGCACTGTACATACAGTCAATAGTCTTGGGCAGGAAGGAGGTGAACACCTAGGTGGACGGAACTCAGGTGAGAAACCATTTCAGTTGATCAGATTTATGAGCTGTCATCCTCTGTCCATGACCCAAGAAAGAGATCAAAGGTCTCCTTTGTGACTTTGTTGAAGGACAGGACTGAGTGTATTGAGTGCATCTTGGATGATGAACTCCAAGAATCTTCTCTTTGGGTGTGTTCTCCTAGAGGCCTGCCTTAGTCTGTGTTGTTCCAGGCAGGACTCACATCTCTCTTCTCTGCTTTTCACCCTCTTTTGATAGGGTTTGATCCTTGGACAAGTGAGAACCTATATCCTTACAGTGGTGGGCAGTATCATGGTGAACTTCCAGAAGCAGTGGTCTTCTGTTCATCGTGAAGATGCTTGTAATTGGGTGCTGGTCATTGAAGCAAACGCTTGAGGGGCTGATGGTGAACCTTGCTGCACATGTTACCTTTTTCAAACTTGTTGCTTTTTTGCTGCCCAGACTCGTATACCTCTGGCTGTTTTCTCTCCTTCTTGACTTTTGTTTTCCTGAGATAGGCAAGTCTGTGTAGCCCCTGTTATTCTGAAACTCACTGTGTGTCTCTCACCCTGCATTCAGACATGTGGGCATTCTTTGTATCTTGCCTCATTTCTTACAATATTGAGGTTGTTAGCCATTGAGTCTGGCTGCCTTCTCTCATCATCCACAAGTATTTTGAATGTGACAGTTACTGAACCTTCTTCCTTCTGGCAACAGTCTCTACAGAATCCTGGGCCTCTAGCATTCTCTGCCAAGCATAAGTCTGAGATCAGGATAAATAGAGAGTAGAACATCTGGAGAAAGAAGACATTTTTTTGGTACTAGGTGCTGGGTGACATGAAAAAAACATAGTATTTATTTTTCTTTGTATGTATGGAAAAGAACAACCAGTTTCCCATCTCAGTGTATCTTCTCAGACAGGAATGTGATCTTTTGTTGAAATATGGGGAAATCTTGTGTTTCCTCATTTTGGTTTACATTGTTTTAATTCTTTTCTGTCAGTGACTGGTGGTTTTATAGACTGTATTTTGGCATGTTTGTAGTACGCATTTATATACGTTTCTTATTCTAACTGCCTGAAAAATTACTAATATGAAAATGTCCGTCAGTCCTTACTGAAATTGACCCTGGAGCCTGTTTATATGTCCTCCTGCATTCACATGAGTTGTCAGAACTTTCACTCAGGATCTCCTTTACACTGAGCTATTACTGCAGCTATTACTGGGCATGCAGCTACACTCATAGCTCAGTAGAGCAGTTCCTCTATACATATTGTTTCATGTTTTGTAGTTCTTGGCAAAACT